TCTCACAACAACTGGGATACCTTATTTACATATCAGAAGAGTACTACTTTTTTCGAAGCTCCAAAGGAAGTCATTGCTCATTTCTATCTTCTTGGTACTTGGCAAACATCTATAGATCTGTTCCCACTAAAAATCATCAAGCCCTAGATATGCTTACTCTACAAACTTTCTGCGATTTGTATAAACAATCAGCTTTGAGCTTAAAGAACCATCCCTACATTTCGCAAGAGTCATAGTTCTTCATAGAGGGAAGTCTTGATTTTGAAGTCATTTAGTGTAAACCAGTCCTCTTTGTAGGACTGCGCGCCCTCTTTTAACTTCAATTCAGAAGCGCAGTGGCGCAATGCGTATGCAATGGCTACTTTCATAGTCCGCAGGCCGGCCGGCGAGCCGGCGTGCCACGAGGCAGTGCTAGGGTTAAGGAGGGCGGCAGACGGTCGGTCAGCCCCTCGAAGGGCTGTTAACAAGGAGAGACAAGATCAAAAACCATTTGTACCAGCGCCTGGTTGTTTGGTTTTTGATCTTGCTTAAAGTAGTTGCACAGTATAGATATAGATATACTGTCGTCGTAATAACGATAATACATGCCACGCGTAAAACACCAACTACGACGCCGTTTATTGGGCGCACCTCGAACTTGGGTAATTAAACCTTCATAACATTAACTACAACAACGGTAACAATGATCAATAGGTACTAGGCGCAAGATCCTCAACGGCAATGAGAAGTCAGATTACTGAGGCCAATAACTGATACACGTACGACAGTCAAAAAGGAGTAAGTCAAAGAAAGAAACTTCAAACAACACTACACCAGAAACAACTACAGTAAAAACAAGTACAACGTAAACAGTACCGGTAATTAAGAAGATGGTGAGAAGATGTATGATAAAAAGAGGGCGCGATAAAAATGAATGATGAGGGAGAAGATTCTAGAATGGACAAGACGGGGGATTATTGGGAGCGGGCGCAATGTCATGTGAACCTAAACGGTGTGTTGCCTTCCTATATATCCTTGTTTTCCCGCGCTTTGGGCGCGAAACCCATCAATCGCGGCTTGAGAGCCACGATATTGCTCTTCTTTGCTTTCAGCCCTTCGACAGACCGTCTGCCGCCCTCCTCCCCCTAGCACTGCCTCGTGGCACGCCGGCCGGCCAGCCGGCGGACTATGAAAGCAGCCAATAGCTCGTACTAGCCATCTGATGCAGAAGTCGTGCTTTAGTCCTTTCAGACGAACCCATTACAAATCACGAAAAAAGGAACCACCATCGATTCAGGATTCGATCCACTGACTTGACGCGTGATAGTGTGTGCCACTTCGACGCCTGCACTTTGAGCTAATGGTGTGGTATCAGCTTTTGTCATAAGGCTCAGATATGTAGAAGTAATGATAAACTACATAAGTGTATCTGTTGTTTTGCCAGTGGGTGCTTTAGGTGTATGCGTATGTGTTCGTATGTTGGTGTGGGTATTTGTATGGAGCTACCAATGAAAAGTCACTTGCCCAGAGCTAACGAACGAACAGAGTGGATTGATTAAGGCGGTAGGCGAGTAGAAGCAGCTACGGCTCATGAGGTTAGGCGTCGATGTTGATGTATTCATGTGAATCAATGTGTGTCAAAGCAGAAGGTTGACCTTTGACCGTGTGTGGTAGAATGATTCACGAACGCCTCAATCTCTGGATCTCTTCTCATGATGATTCTATATGACCTTCTGAAGGTGCAATCTTTACGGAGATTTGCGGAAGAGAGAAGAGGAAGGAGGCTTCCATCTAATCTATTGCTCATTTTGGGACTATTAGGTTTATCGCTCTTTCGTTCTTCTTTTTGGGTCGCCAACCAACTCACAAACTTCATCTCCCGCTCTCATTCTCGCTATACAAAACGGCTTCACGTAAGGGATCTTCGCCAGTGCAAAGCTTTTTTTTTGTTCTAGGACTCCTAAAGTACTTTGGATTTTCTACTTTGAAATCATGGCTCAAAGTATTCGATGTATGTATAATTTATAATCTTCTTTATCAAAGCAATGTTTTTGGTCCGTTTGATTTTTATAATATGACGCATTAACGAGCCATAGGTGTTTGAGTTAGAGTAGCTCTTCCTGGACCCAGAACCAATATAAGAGCCCCAAGTCTCACATTCAGAGCGGCTGGTCTCTACAAAGATTTAATGAAAACATTCTGTATCCCTAGTCTGGATTAAGAGCGAGATGGCAGTGGTTTTAACTGACTACGCATTTATTTTATATCTAGCCTTGATATGTACTATTTGCTAAATTACATCTTTATTTTTGTATGACTAATTATTATCTATTCGTGGTATTTGTCCGACTATTAGGTTAGTTCTAAAGTTTGTATTTCTTTTTGTACTTGTTTTTCTTAGCAGCATAGAACATATCAAATATGCTTATAACTTAGGTGAGAATAAGTCGGTCATTTGACCCTCCCAGATGAGTCTGCAACCACTGCTCTTGTTGCCACGCACTGCTGTTTTTTCCTCATTTTTCCTCCTAATACTTAAGTTAGTGGTTCGAAATTACATGGAATATTCTTTTTCCTCATCCATCATTTACTGGTGATAAACCAACGATCGCATATCGGTCGTCAGCAAATCAGCTACTTTTCATCATAAGTATTTGGGGTTTGATGAAAACATTGAAGTGTGAGTGATAGGTGACCCTTAATTTGCTTTTCTCCCTTTATATGGCAATCTACATCGGTGACGCCGTTGAGCCAGCTCCGGCTGAACTGCTGCCATCCATATACATATGTAGAACCTCCTGTCCTGTGGCCTTGTACAGTAATTCAGGATCATTGCAAGTACGTGAGCTGAGACTACTGATAAAGATGTCGCGATCAGCAAATCCATCGGTGTTTCTTTTTAAGTTTCATGAACCTCGTAACAATGTCAAGTATGAAAATGTTGGTTCGTCGCAAAACGATGGCTTCCAAAACAGGGTTCTTCGTCTGTTGGCCGTCTTTTACCTCAAGCCCTTTTCCTTTCAGCTTTCCACAAGAGGGGAATGCCACAAGAGACTTTCGTCCTCCGATTGAGCAACTATGTACTTTGGAGCATCTATACATAGTTCGAGACCTCGAAACGATTCCTTCGATTATCCTTGATTCTGGTAAAATATTAGGTATGGTATAGCAAAAGTCCTATTCTCAGAGGGAGATAACGAGAGGAAATGATTGAATTTTGAAGCAAAGGATCAATGCTGCGTGAAATACGAGCTATCAACCCTCTTCAGTTTTTTTTGTTTTTTTTTTTGATCAGGATGTCGGCATAAAGGAGGTACCAACGTATTACGTATACATAGCTCTTCATCACTCATTTTTTCTGCACCTTCTGCCTCCAACAACTATTGACTCATGGTGAGGACTCATTACATGCATCAACCTATGGTTCAATGACGTTTCGCTTTGTATGCTTCATGTTTTTGTAGTAACGTTTACACAGATGACATGGAACAATCGACAGGTGATGGAGTATTGTGAGTCATGTAAACATTGAACCGCATTGATTGTAGGCTTCTTTAATTTGAATAATGCGAAGTCGATACATATGTAGTCATAGTAGTTTTATCGAAAACGCAGGCATACATACGTAGGTTTGGGTTGCCAGTAAAGGTCCTGGAACCCTTTGACATCGATTGATCCCTTTTCGAGACTCCACGCCGTATTCGACTTCCATTTAGAATCGTGACAGCGGTTTAAAAATATCTGTATGATTCACACAATGACTGGTAGAGGCAAGCGGTTGCACAAGCTAGGTTTTATTCTTCCAGTAAAAGCCTGGGACAAATTAGCAAACTGCTTTTCATGAATGGGATGAAGTTTTCATAGTTGGCGTGAACGAACGTCGAACCGAGGTTCGATCCCGGACTACACCTGTGTCATGAAGCGCCATTTACCACTAGACTATCTTCGCTACGGATGTCGAAATGTGGAGTTGAATGAGTTGTAGTGTAGGGCTCCACTGAAGTGGATACGATTCGAGCCATTAATACTTCAGGCATCGCTTTGGTCGTAGGGTTGGGGTGATGTGGATTGATGATTCAACAAATGACCGAGTACTGGGTTTGTCAGCATGTATTCAGCTGTTTCTTCTAAGATAAAAAACTATTTACTGGTGTCAATTGACATTTATGTCAGGGTAGTTAGAACTTTAAATGAAGCAGATCAGCCGGCCATTCTTTCCCTCCTCCTTATGCAGCTGTCCACGACCTACTCAGCCTTTAACATGCTAGGCCATTGCACGAATTTGAGCTCTTTCAATCTGAAAAGGCACGAGGTTGATTCGAACCAGGATCGGATCGAAAACCAAACATTACTCCAAGAACTATCCTAAGCTATATTTACATCTTCAGAGCCTATCACCTAATCACACTAAACTTCTTATTCCGCAGGGAACACCTGAACTTTAAGGATTCACAGAGAGTTAAGAAAATCGTTGTGACTAGTCCATCTCTTGAGTTTGCGCCACACACCTAGATTTCAGTTGTTTTACAGTCAAGAGCCAGCCATGATTCACTTCACTCAATATCTTTACCCTGTCATATTCCATTATGTGGAAAAGTGAACGTTGGAAGAGAAATCAGGCGACGTAGTCCACTTGAAGTAGACCTACATTTGAGCCCGACTGCGAGATTCTTCAGCCACTGTGCTACGCCCGCCCTCCTGAATGGGAACTAGAAGTAAAATGTACCGGTGAATAAAGCTTTACTTTGGAAGAAATTTGTAATATTTCATCCTCTAACTTCTCCGGCTCTACAAAAGACGCTTGCCGACTCACTAGTATTGTCACCTTTTACCTTTTGGCAACCGGCCAAAGTCGCAATAACAAACAGGTTCGATGTTGAAATTCAACTATTACCACCAACCCCTATTTATTTATTTAATATCGAAACCATGCCAAAAATAGTTGAGCTCTTCGAAAATAGCTTTGTTCTCACGTGATCAATGATACTGCGTTCTATAAAAATAGCCATGATCTCATAACCCTGGCGCGTACCATTCAACAACGTTTTTCAATAGGAATGAGTAACATTGAGGGAGGAAATTCTGAAATTTTTCGATAAGCTGTGGGTCGGGCAAAAAACCAACAAGCACCATCGAAGGCAGACACAATGGGCCCGAAATGGCTATAAAAGGCGGCACACGGTTGGAGCCGAATCCCATCAGCCATGAGAGTTACCTCACTTGTGATTTTATTTTCCGTGGCCGCTGCAGGTAAATCGTTTATTCGTTATATCCAAAGCCCAAATGTGCTTCCAAAAGAGTCAATGCTCTATAAGTACGCTGGGGTTTTTACAAAACTACTAGGTTTTTATTTTTAAGATCATCAGTAGTTTCAAAGTTTAGATAGTTAACCTGTTTTTATTTGGATGTAATAGTTACTTATTCAGTGCCGGACTGCTATCTATCATTCCTGGAAGCGACAACTTCCTGCAACACAGCAAACGATTGCCCTTCTGGCGCCTGTGTCTACAGTATCAATCAAATGAAAAGAGTCTGCTGTGAACCGAAGAAAGGCAGCATCCAGCCAAGTGTGTAATTCTCAGAAATTCTGATAGCATGAAGTTTCATAGGAGGTCATCCTGGTCAATGATGACCACCATCTCAGTCCTTTCCTTGACAATGGATCTCCCTATGCAGTCAATACGTGGAGAATCTCAGCGTTAATCTGACCCTCAGTTCCGGACAAGGATCCCTAAACCAGTAGCAGAATTTCGGGGCTACTCAGCTCCAATATTATGGCCAATTTTTCTGGGTGGGGTTGTCCATGCATTAATGTTCGAGTTAGAACAAGCGGGATACTTTCATCGTAACAGAATGAAGCAGCACTTGTCTTTCTACAATATGATTGATAGTATGCCCTGATAGAAGAAATGACCTCCTCCCCAGGTTCTAGAAAGGTATGTAGTAGTTCATTTTTGAGTGGTCTAGAAGACTTGGAATTTTTTGACGTTGATTAGTCCCGTTCCTAGGATGCGCCCCTGCATTCAACTCCCATTCAGAATCGTAGTGGAGTTCTGCATGCCTACCCTATGCCTAGGGTGCGTTTTTGATACCGGGCGCGTGGACCCCAGACGCACCCGGTATTAAAAAGCTGTGCATGGACCCGGGTGGCTGAAGTGATCTTGTTGGTTTGGATGGGTACGGCTCAGGGATCAGAACCCGGGCATGTGGGTTGGTGTGATCTTTTCCATTACGACATTCTTCCACCCGTGATACACTTTTATGAAATGAGCGAAATTACGTTGAAAACGAGCACACACCGTACTGCAAGTCAATTTTTTTTGTAAAGTGTAGTAATAAAACCACAACAAATAGTTGATAGAGAGTGATTCTCCCTGCTAAAATGTAGAATACATTAAAGTGCTAAGCCGTGGAGTCTGAAAGCAACAGTTCTCGAGGCCAGCAAATTTGCCTTACGCTTTTTGTCAATTTCTGTTTGTTTCTTTTTCTTGAATCACATATACATCAAGATAGAACAACAAATAGGAGGGGCTCAAGAGATTTTACTACGTTGGTGAGAACGAACAGAATCAAATTCGCTTCTCCTAGAATGTCCAACGGGAAAACCATCAGCCATGCCTCTACTGTGCGATCCAAATAGCAATGAATTGGACGTCTGTCCTGGCGACTACGAGTGCCGTGAGAGCACCGTCGAGTTTGAGAAGGTCAGGAATGTTGTTTTCTAATACCCCAGAATGTCAAAATCCACACCTTGAACCCAACTCAGGAGATGGCAAGCACATCAGATTTATGCTTGTTTATTTGATCAGGAATGGCAATCATCATTGTCCCCACTGACACATCGTTCTTTTCAGAGCGCCGGACAGCCGAACTATCTTTGCTGTCGTTGAGGATATAGAACGAAGGAAACAAATGAGATTATACCTTACTTGCCAAGTGAGCTCTTCATGGGGCTCCATTGCCGCTCTTTTGAACTGCCGTAATTTTTTTTCGTCTACTCGTAATTTTGAGTTCGTTAAAGTGCTATTGCTGTAAATATTCTCTAATTTTCAAAATAAAGCATTTATAAGTTGACTAACCATAATTATATTCGACAAAACTTTTTGAGATTTTTCTGAAACGTTTATCCGTAATCGATAAATTACGCAGAAGACTCTAATATTAAGCTCTCCTAAATTAAAACTTCGAATAAACCGTTTAACAATCTGTTTTTCATATAATCAAGCTACAGATGTTGTCAGAGACACCTTCCTACACAAAATAAGCAATGGAGGGCTAACAGTGATCTATTCATTTTTGGAGAGCAACATAAACAGATTTTAGAAATGTGCAATTATTCAGGATTACCTAATTCCTTAACCAAATCTTAAGAGCAATTGCTGCACACATCTGCCCGAACTCTGGAGGACAATGCATCATAGGTGACCAAATGGGATTGGGAGCCAAGACAAGAACAAGCTCGGGAACGAAATTCAAGGTGTAATCAGCGGCATAGCATGGACAGTAGGAGCGAATCGTGGTAGCTCGGCATGTTCCTACTCGTTTCCAAAACATACCTTCCTGATTTCCTTCACGGATCATATTCCCTATCACGAAGATCGATTGCTATTTAGTAGTCCCACACTCTGAATGAGACTATAACGAGGTGATCAAATCAAACGAGACCATCTGGAATGAAAGCTACTCTGAACATCTTTGCACCTATTACTACGTAGCTACCTATAAATAACACTAACAGAAACGACCTAAAGTATGCTGTTCTGACTTACATTTTGCAAATGTTATTACTCGTAAATGACAAAGTAATATATACTGTTACTGAACAGTCCCGTTTTCAACAATCCACTTAGTAGAACGCCATCTTCCCTCGTTTTCGCTCATGAAACATGTTATGCTAGAAATCTTGCTAAAGCCAAGTCCTTGCAGGCCACCGCAGGGAGGGCTTCGAAGGGGCCGCTCTTCTAGGTGATACAAACCGACCTGTGCTTCTCACCGATGCTTATTCGATTAACAATCAAACTTTCGAGGTGAACCACGTTCTGATTACCAGCAGGTGTTGTACCACACTACAAAAGGTTGTACTAAAAAAGTGGGAAGTACTCACTAAAAATCCACCCAAGAAATCCAGCAAAAAAATCGCTTGGAAACGTCCTCGATCTCATCCTACACCAACTCTTTAACACGATACGTTGGTAACCAATTTCACTCACTTTACTTCGACCAGAAATCACTAAATCATGGATAATTCGGACCAGGACCTCGACGTGCGCCTTCGACGTTAAAGTGTGAACGCACTAACATCCTAGCTCTTTTATCAATGTTTATTCTGGTCTTTGCGAGAACAGGAAAAAAGCTCTTCCTATCCTTTTTAGGCCAAAACGAGAAAAAANAAAAAATAAGAACTACTCCATCTGTTTAGAAACTATAGGAGCTGAAACCAGTGTTCTGTGTTACCAACATGGTGCTACCGTTCAGCACAGGACATCTTCCCTTCCCCAGACTCAGCTACAAATCACTGTAGAAAACATCACGATGTGATTAGTTCTGCAGATTCCCCTCCATTACTTTTTACCACTACTTAGTCAGTTACATTGCAATTCCTAGGCTCATATTATGCCATTCAAGTCGAACATGGAATAGAAAACGCTATAACAGCGCCCCAAACTGGCTTTAAACCAGTACACACCACCTGGTAGCATGCATCCAAGTTCTCATAAGCGCCCTGTCCCGTCAAAGAGGACATCACTTCTTCCCTTCCTTTCGAGAACTACGAGCTACTACACTTCACGGTAAACAGAATTTTTTTGATGATGCATCTCGATCCCCTAATGATGCATATGGCTTTTTAGACACAGACAACCAATACTGTCGTACTTACTACGTCCATTTACGGCTAATTCATTGACAGCTGACGAGCCTGACTGCTTCTGCACTGGCGTAACCAACTGACTGAAGCTGCCTTCGGGACAGTTCACTGAGCATTTTTCTGAATAATATTCAGACTACCACATCGAGCGTTCATACTCGACGAATCTATTCAAAATAAGCAGAATTATAATATAACAATGAAAGAGAAGCAGTATTTATGTACAATTTAGAAGCGAACTATTTACAGAAACGATAGGGGATGGAATTGAAATAATTTCAGTATTGAAGATATTGCAAATTGATAAATTACTATAGAAATCCACGATTGATAAGATATGTTGCTTGTTTTAGAAGGCGTTATTCGAGAAAAGTGGCATTAATGAGCAATTGATGAAAAAAAAAATGAAAAAATTGAACACTAACTCCGCAGGGGTAACGGAACTTCTTCCCGATTGCAGCATTCTCCCTTGCGGCATGCGGCAAATGTCACTATAACTACCGTACTCCCCCCGCCCCCCGCCAATCGATAGAACGCGAAATTTTTCGTTAATTGCCTTTCTTTTTATTAAATTTGTTCGTTTTTCTCTATTTCCTTTTCATTTTTATGTTTATTAGACTTGATTAATTAGGATGACTCGTCCTATGTAAGCGACGATCAAAACTGCATTGAAATTGAAGAGCGCGGTCAGCCAATTCAAAAAATTAAAGGACTCCCTACCTCACAAATTGCGCGCTTCCATCTGCCATCGCAAACCTGCGATACGCGGCGGGAGCGGCGTGCGCGACGCCGTCTTCAGGGAGAAATTCCCGGACCCACTCCGCAGTTATATAAAAAAAGAACGACCGAAGCCATGCACTGGAATTTAAGGAAGAGAAAGAAGTGAAAGCAAATCAAATAGATCAAGAATGGAATGAATGCCACTGGAATCACGAGATGTCTAATTTAGTAACTGATGCATACGAATAGTACGCTTGACAGCAGTACTGCTACCCGTATTGTATTTGTAGAGCAGGGGGCGCCAAGGTTCTTTATCTGATGAGTCCACCACTTTCGTACAGCCAGCCACCATTTCTTTGATTTGCGCAGTGTTACTCTTTGGAGCCAAATTTTCCTTCACACCACCTCCAGTAGCATGGAAGATTACTATCTGAATTATTAACATTTAGCTGATGCAATCAAGTAAAGGATAAAGATAGTCATGAGAATGGTAACTACCTTTTGCGCGATCATTTGTCGAGTTGAGTTTGATAGCAAATTTCGAGAGCTCCCATCCGATATGGGAAACATAGTTAGCACGTCGATTGGACTGGAATTCAGTCGATTGGAATCGTTTTTGCAAGCAGAGAAGACCATTATTTTCAAGTATATTAGGAAGATCGCAAAGCCAGTTAGCTAGAAAATAGTCAAAACAGGTGAAGTAGTCACCCGCATTGTCTGCGAGGTTCAAAGAACAAAATGTAATTTTAACTACTACTTACGGAGAGAACAAGTACTGCGGCTGAAAATTGACGACGGTAGGGGTGAACGTCAGGTGATAATCTGCCATGATGCTGACGACGTTGTTAATCTCTTTCAATTCTTGCGTGCTGTACAGTTGCTGATTCATCTGTAATTAGCTTTGAAATGATAGAATTCAATGCTTAAAGTCGTCGAAGTATTAGGTCGTCAAATGCGCCTTTTCTGATTTTTAGAGCAACTTTTTATCGCAAATATTTTAAAAGAACAACAGACATAGAAATCATAGGTCTGTACCACTACCAGCAACCATACGATTCATTCCACTCCAGTCTTCGGTAGGCTCGTCAGTAGCTTCTGAGCCGTTCAGAGTAGCCTCTATGTGCCTTCCTCGCCCCTGCTCTGTTTTAAACTTCTTTCTATTCAAGTGAAAAAGACGGCTGAAGCATAAATAAGAACGGGCTGTGGGCTATAATAGAGCTGGAGAATTCCGTAGCTAAAGCTTTCCCAGTCTTTATCGACTTCGTCATAAGTGGGTAAAAGTTTTTGCAGTTGGAAGCGATTTTGGCCTCTTTTCCAGTTGTGCGGTCGGTATTAGCCTTGAGTTTTTAAAGTTGACAAACATGGGCCTAGGTATCTCCAGCGCTGCGTAGGAATAGTAAGAGCTCCCAGTACAGTAAATTAATAGGATTGTTTTTTTGACCGACTGTGAGTCCTCAGCCAGATTCACCCTTTGTCTATACTAGGAGGGCTTTCGCACAGGATCCATTTCACACTTTCGCAATGTTCATATTGAGATGGTTGAAATCCCGTTGTAAAGAAGATGGCATTAGTAGATTTTTTATGTTCGGAAGGCGACAGTTTGCGGGATGCTAATCGTCCGAGTTTCCGGAACTTGTTGTTCTTCAGATAATCGTCCCAGTATTTCATTTAGGTCATCGATATTCATGTCTGTTACCGATATTACACCGTAGAAAAAGCGTTTTGTTAACACTACATTTTTGTTAACTCAAAAATTATTACCGTTTTGATGGGCGGTTGGACAATTTGCAGAAGAAGGGGAAGTACATCACAGAGCAGTGCGGTAGGAGAATACCGTCCCAAAAGCGAGCATTGGACTGTTGCAAGGGTTTCCTGCGATTCTCGACGCCTTTGGTTTATACTCTGCTCTTGTTGAGGATATTTCAATTTAGCCCTGAAAACAACTCCGAGGTTTCCTATAAATATTACAAACTGAACATAAGAAAGAAAACTGTGAGCTGGGTGCCTCGAGTGTCTTAAAGTACCTTGTATGAGTAGCCACAGCTGCATGGAGAAGCATGTAGAAAACTGGGACAAACTTCATCAATGTGTAATCTTGCTTTTCGTTGATCTGAGGAAGAAAAAATGGTAGTGAGACAATGAAAAGTTCTTAAAAACAATCAATCTGCCCTTCTTGCAATGGAATGTACACTGTAAACTCACCGCGAGCGTAATGCGGTCATAATGTACGAAAGCCTCGACACCAGATCGAATTGCTTTCAAGGGTATATTTACGCTAAGATAGTTAGCGTATAGTCCGTTCACGAAACGGTCATCACCACGTTCAATAGCAACACGCTCAACCAGCTGCAGCCTCTCTGACAATGATCGTAGGATTCCTTTTCTGGAAAAAAGCACGGGTAAATTTATATTCGAATACATCTTATTCTGTCCGATACCATCTGCGCTGACAACTCCAAACTATGCAGTAGAAAAGACCAACTTATCGAAATGATGACTAAAGTCCAACATAGTAGACCAATTTTCGAATATTGATGCAGACCCCACTCTTTCTCGTTCCACAGCCTGGAAGTATCCGTTACAAATAATTGAATATGAGAAGAAACTATTTACATTTTGTTAATCTTTTTTTTGATTTGATTATTTTACTCGTACTTCGTTCACAGGTGGATACTGCTACAGATCTAATAGGGTAATATTGGCTGCTTGACACGATTGCAGCATGCACAATAGCTGAGAAGACTTTGATGACGCCATCGTCAAAGCACATTGAATTACCAAAGTCCCTAAGAAACGGCCCGCGAAGGGGGTCCACTCGGTCACTCCATATTGGGTTCAAAACATATGGCTACTTCGGGAACAAGTTACAACGGAAACTGTTCAAGGCTGAGGCGATATCGAGAAAAATCAAACGGAAGTTTTGGGAAAAAAACGGTTCTCAAATGGAAATAAGGTGAAAAATGACATTGTGAGCCAACCGGATCAGAAATGTACCTTTTGTATGTCATCTACTGAAACGTAACGCCGCTCCTTTTGAGCAAGAACAGACACGAACTGGAGCGTGTTGATTGAAAATCGAACATCACATTGACACAACTCCACGAGCCGTTGCAACGCAAATCGATCGATGCGAACGGCTTCCAATTCAGAGATCTAGTAAAAAAAAACCCAATTCATTAGTTACTAGACAAAACATATTCAAAAATCAAAGCCTAAGAGTCGTAGAGGTATGGCGTGAACCCAAACTGCTTGAAGTCACTTAAATCCTCAGTAGAAAGGGTGTAACAGAAAAGTGAGTTCAGTTCCAGGCAATTTAGAAGAGGGAAAACAAAGCGAAACAGACAGAAGAGGCAGGATTAGAAAAGAGGTGAATATAAATCTCCTCGATATCTCTGTGGAACTCACTGCTGTTAGCCTTTGAATAAGCCGTTCCTTCGCAGTCGGCGCCACCTGAAGATTGAGAGCAACCGTTCGAAGTTCTCGTAAAGCAGGGGTATACCTGAGAAATCGTTCAGTGAATACATTTGTCTCTGAGTTTTTCAAGTCTTTCAAAGTGTATTCAAGACAGGGGCACAGAAAACATACATGTTGTTGCAAATACAAATAATAGGGCGGCGTATTGCTTTCTTTCCGGTAGCTTGAGTTGCTTTAACAAGATAACGTATTGCTTCCACAGGAGCTCCGTCAATTTCGTCAAGAATCAAGCAGTTTGGACGCGATTTCTAAACGTGGTTCTCTGAGTATTTCAAGTCTTTCAAAGTGTATTCAAGACAGGGGCACAGAAAACATACATGTTGTTGCAAATACAAATAATAGGGCGGCGTATTGCTTTCTTTCCGGTAGCTTGAGTTGCTTTAACAAGATAACGTATTGCTTCCACAGGAGCTCCGTCAATTTCGTCAAGAATCAAGCAGTTTGGACGCGATTTCTAAACGTGGTTTCGGATTCAGGTTGAATGTCTCGAAAACGACTAACTAGTCAACAAACCTGATCAAGGGTTCGAGACGTCCGAACTGCACCTTCGAGAGCTTTCTCAAAGTCAGGCACATTCCTGCTGTCACTGGCATTCATTTCTACAACTGCATATCCAGCTTGCCGAGCAACAACATTTGCCAATGTTGTTTTTCCCAAACCAGCGGGTCCACACAACAAAGCTATCTGAAACAGTCATACGAGTTCATAGCTAATGAAAAGTTGACACGTTTATTATATCAGCATAGGGCTTACATCAGGAATAAAGAGGAATCAGCGTAGCGTATCGCTAATTAAGCTAATATAACACAAATACGAATACCAATTATGATATACATACAATTCAATTAATAGAATTATGCAAGTTAATTCCGAACTAACAATATCTGATCAGTCTCGGTAAGATCTCAGACTTCTAACTCCTCAGTAGCATTTCGGCAATGTGACGCCTGTATCATGGCAAAATAACTGGCAGTGCACAATATAGCTAGCTCTGAGTACTTTCTACATTCTCTAAAGCCGAATTCTGTTGAACTCAGGTCAGTTTTAGCCCGTGGTCATTATGTTTCCTATGGTGGAGTTCCAGGATATGTAAACTTAAAGAAATTGTGGGATCCAGATCTATGCAAGTTCTATACTGTCCTATGAACCAATCAGACATCGAAAACTTCCCCTCCTCACTGCGAATATGGAAGTTCAGAAATCTGTCCCTGACTACTGCGCTCGGCAATTCCGAGTTGGGGAAATCACCGGTCTGCACAAGCTGCCTGCGTTTAAAATCGTTCCGAATCTTTTTATTGCATAGATGTCTTTCATTTTGACGGCTTAGATATCGTGGTAAAGGATTCCACCAGAAATCGCGTATAAAATACCTCGTAGCATAATTTGAAATATGCTCCGATGCGAAATCCTAACTTTACCTGATGAAGACATAAGAAAACAAACTAATAAATGCCCTAAACCTTTTGCACTGGTCGACGAGGTTTCCCCGAATCCAACGTGAGCAAGTCCTTCTCTTTTGCAGCAACGGTTTTAGAAAGATGATCGATCTTGCGTTTGAAAACGCATTCATCCCAAAGTTTCACCCAGGACATCATGAGTCGATTTACACCCTGGAATATGTAGTTTTAATTCGAGAATAACTGGAAAAATTTAAATAAAAAAAATAAACCGAAAAAAAGTTAGAAACTAACATCGTCACTGAGTAAATCCAGGTAGGTTCGAGGAGCGTATTTATTCACCCATACACTAGACTCGTTTGTGATAATATCTGCATGAACTTCATCAAGATTCTCTCTTTCCTGGCGATTTATCATCATGCGAGCTTTATTTTCTCTGTAACAAGGTCGAACCGAATTGCACTTCTCTGACGATTCGCAAAAAGAATAAAAAGATAGAAAAATGGAAAAACAGTAAAGTAGGGTTATTTCAGAGCCACTACACATATCAAGACTGCATCTGGAGGGTTTGCAACTGATAGTTTGACAGTTTCCGTTCAGTAAGCTAAAAAGTACTGCTGATTTGAATGAAAATCAAATCTTACACGTTACTTTTTTTTCGATGAAAAACCCGAAAACTAGAACTTTGCAAAAGCTCGTCGTGTCAAAACTTTTCTGATCCATGCAGACTACTGCCCTACACAGAAAGCTTCCAGAACTCAAAGCAAGCCATTCAGAACCTTCAAGAACCTTCAAATTGATAATTTCACGCAGATGTTTGAGTGACTTCCAAGCTTCCCTCCAAGCTAAAGGCAGAACTATCTTCAATGTCCTGCGGTTAATTTGTGTTCGTATATTGAATTTATAAACGAGATTGATAATACAATACGGGACAATTCTTACTGCAGCCATAAAAACTATCTAATCACACCTGACTGCCTCGATTTCTGCTTTGATCTTCTGTGCCTGCTGATTGAGTATTTCTGCACGGATTTCATTCGATCCAGCGTTGGCAGCTCGTGGTATACGCGGCTGCCGAATGTAGCGAATATAGAACCTGAAAGGTGTTATAATAATATAAAGCAATTCCTGTATCGTTTTATATCTGTCTTCCAGTCCATGCTACAGTAACGCATTCACGCTGAGAAGGGCACTACCTTTCATGCCTATCGTCACTATTTACTCCAATCCACGATGATCCATCAATCGGAGGCGACTCCATAATCTAAAAAACGCTATCATTTGCATTTGTGGGACTGTTTGTGAAGCTTAGGATTTTAATTAGCCGATAATCAAAGTGGAATCGCTAATCAATGCTTTCACGACACAGAATCTCAACGCTGACCTGTTTCTCCTTTTCATTTTCATCGTCCGAATCAGCATTTTCATGGTCCTGTAGTTGCTCCCTCATTGCTCGCATTCTTTTTGCCCTTGCTTGACAGATACGTTGAAATAACCGAGTCGCAGCCAATTCATCATCAGTTTTTGCTCGAGTATTTTCGTGTTCCTCCAATGTAAGCGGCATTTTCATGTGCCAATCTTCAAGGAAAAAGCTATATATCTTCTGCAATCGCAATTCGGTGTGGATCAAAAAACTTTTTGGCTAATCGCTGTTTTAAGGACAGCCCGGCTGAGACTTCCCTCGAGTTTATACAGCATTCAAACAAAAATAATAACTCTACCCATTGGATGGACGAACTTTTCGTCAGGAGGCATTGAGAATGGGTCATTGTCGACGAAACGACGCTTTCTCTGACCAGTTTCGTTCAAAGCACTCACAACCGTCACATCCGACACTGATGGCTCGACGTTTTCATGGTCTCTGAAGCACTGGTCTTCGTTCTATGAAGTAATAACTAGGAATAATAGGAACTACACAGTATAATTACAAGAAAAAGCCCCTCATATTGCAAAATCATTGCTCCTCTGACGCCCGAGTGATGGGTTTCTTCAGGCAAATACATGGCGTGATCATAAGATGATCATCAGTGAATGGCTACAGAATGTAAACTCACGGGTACGAAAGGTCTGCATCATCGAACCGTGCTACCACATTAAACTCATCATCATCCATGGTGTTTCGAGAGCTAATAAAACCCTTCAAATAAACAAATGCTGTTACGTTCTTCTCGAGTATACTAGATCAAAATTTTATTGAAAATCATGATCTATAGAAAGGTAGCTCGTGGCAATCAAAAACTCTCATCGGTCATAGTTCAACTACACAAAAACAATATTTACTCGTCGCAGACAACAATAAATTCAGTGTGTAAAATTAACAATATGACAAAAAGCCAGAACTTAACCCATTCTCAATCCTGGAAAGGGTAGAAATGCGCTAAATTCGACAGGTCACAATGTCAATTATACGAATATAAAGACGCGCTTATGACATTGCTATGAGCGCACGCAAACGCCTCAACAATAGCTGCCAGAATGGTGAACAATGAGAAAACAAGGATAAACGGTGAGGGGCACCGGCAACGAGGCAGGCGTGGACCTCAAGCTGAGCTAGTACCGACTGAGGAGGGTGAGACGGAGAGGAAACTGAGGAGAGAGAAAGAGTAGAGCGATGAAAAGAGGGAAAATCGGCACTCAGAGATCTACGAGACAGCGATACAATAACATAGCTAGCCCCGGCTGCAGTAAAACCTAAACATGGTGCACCCTCGCTACACCCCCCATTTTACCCTATTCATATAGTTATCTATTCAAGGGGAAAGAGCCCTTCAATTCGAAAAACTCTCTATATTAACATAATATACACCAATCTGAAAAACATGCTATAGACGAACCGGAATAACGAAAAATCACAAGTTACAAATAATGAGCCATGACCAAGAAGAGAGATTTCACTTCCGATAGATCTATGAATATTACTTAGAAAGTGGAAGTACCAGGCGAAAAGGGGTAAAAGGGATGCTCAATAGGGAAAGGTGTTCAACCATGGAATAGAAATTTGTGTGGTCGTTTGGGGTATACACCCTAAGATGTGAGGCGCTGTAACATCACAGAAGGATCAAAACATTCAGTGGTTGGCGTTCTGATTGCCGTAGCCACCACGGAAACCTCCGCGACCTCTGCCGCCTCCACGAGTGAATGAACCAGCTCCGCCACGAGGGACGAAACCGCCACGACCTCCACGGAATCCTCCACCAGGGCGGTCAATGCGATCTTTCTGCTCAGAAATCGTTACCTCACCATCGAAGCCGAACGCATCAAGACATAGTTGTAAATGGTATATACCGCGATCCTGTAAAATACTCGAAATAGTCACACCGTAAAAGTGAAAAACATGGATGAAACGAACATCTTTTCGTGCTTTCTGGAAGACATTCTGGGCATCAGCAGGCGTTTTCATAGAAATAAAAGCAAATCCGTTACGGGATGTGTCGTTTGGTTGATCGAGGACTTTGCGCGGTATAGCCACCGACTCCACTTCGCCGTACTCTGTAAATTGAACCATATAAATTTTCAAGAATATTGAACAGAAATTAGAAAACCTAATTATACATCACAAAAAAATCTCTTCAAAAGACACTGAAACACATCGAAATGCTACCAACTTGAGAAAGCATCCTTGATCTCCTGCTCAGCAATATTCGTGTTATCAGGAACCATATTTCTAACTATGCCACCAAGATAAATACGGCGCTCTCCTTGGGCAATAGGACCACCTTAAGTAAACAACAGTAAAAAAAACATCTAGTAGTTTAATGTCGCAGCACCTACCGTTCGACTGCACCTGAGGGCGCTGCGTGCGTAGAGCTGCAGCAGTATTGCCAGCAGCAGGCGCAGGAGATGCTTTCTGTGGAACATTGCCGGTTGTGGGAGTGGTGGCAGGTTTCGAACCCCCTCCTACACGATGTGCCCATGTCTTTGGTGTGTTATCAACTGGTGCTGGAGGGGTACTTTCACGGGCAGGGGGTTCTGCTTTGGGTTTCGGAGATTCCTCTGCCGGAGTGGACTCCTTGACTGATGTATCTGAAAAAGCACGTTTAAACAGAAAGGATTTTTGTTTATGTACAACTAGTTAAAAAACTAATTCAAGCAAGCCACAGTACAGAGGGGTAACCAAAAAATCTAAGCTAAGATGGCATGAACACATTTGTTCATATATACTGCACTGATTCTAAAGTATTCGGATAAATTCGAATTAGTACCAGACGTAATTATCCTCCAGCGAATTCCACTATGTCAGTGCCTCTCAACACTCATACCAATAGTAACGAGGCAAATGGAAAAAGGTCGACTCGCTGATAACACAAAAAGCAAGCATGGATGACACACTACGCAGAACCTCTGATAAACTAACAACATTGCTCTCTAGAACGGATCGGAAAGTTGAGGTACTTGTTAAGCAAATGACGTTTAGTAAGTGGTAAGATAGGCTTGAATACCGTACAGGCTTACGAACAGCTGGTGAACTTAAGGATGTTCTTAGCTGTGTCTCAACTACTACACATTCATCGTTGCACGGAATAACTGGGCGTTTGATCGCCTGCACCAGAGGCCATTCGCAATATGAAAACCCGACAAATATACGAATTCGAAGAACAACCTCAGGTTCCGAAGTTAGAATATTCCATTAAAATGGGTGATTCACCACTAAACATGCTCTCGAATTCCGATCTGTAAATCAGCAAAACAATCCTCCCAACCGAAGTTTTTATATCCACACCAAACATTATAGTAGGGAAAGTATGCATCAAAAGCTAGCGGTAATATCTGACCAAGAAATAATAGCTCCGCGTACAACCCTATATCGCTACAATGTGAAAGACTGTGTACCCATCGAGGAAATTTGATAACCCCACCACTCGAGGCAGTCCAACAACCATGATTTACTTTAACAATACGTAACCCTCAAAGCCGATATCGATCACATCGCACTGCTTGCTAAGCATTTACATAAAAATAGCCTAGACAAAAAAGAATCCGGAAAAATGGGTTCAAATAAAAAGAACTTTTTCAAAATCAAACGAGATGCTTACTCATTTACATGAAGCAAAATTTATTAGGCATGTATCGTGCGTCATCATATAGCCATCTCATCGAGACTAGTAAACGGTTGCCCTAGGCGATTTTGAACAAGATTAGATGTAACATCTGATCTTGTTCAAAATCACAGACACCGGATTCTGCATCTTGTAACGGTCTTCTAGGTTTGAAGTCGCTATCATTTAGAAGGAGAATGAGAGATGTGATAAGGTCAGCAAAATACTCCGTGGCCAAGTTAAGATTCGATGTATTGATTTATTTCCAATGGTGCCATCAATTACTAGAGGAAACAAGATAAACTTTAGAGCAGCTCGCTCAAATCTTAGGCACAAATTCTTCGTAAATCGCGTTGAATCAGTGAACAATCGCTTAACTAAGCTTGACTCCCGCCCTAAGTCGATGAATGCCCTCAAAGCCCATCTCAGTAAAGTTCTCCAATGAAGCTCTAGCGAATTATATTTCTTAATTATATTATGTTGTGTTTATCCTGGTGATTCTGTTTCTGTTGCATCTGGCAACCACCGATGCTTGACGTGTAATACATAAATAAATAAATAAATAAATAAATAAACAAGAAAAGGAGCTGTCTCATTTACAAAGGAAATGGCCTAAAAATAATGTAATAGCATGTTGTTGAAATGCGATGTATCCAGCCAGCCTTCAACAAATTTCGGTAGCACATTCGAACATCCGCTATGGGCAAGATTTTTTAGCCCTGCACTCATTTAAAAAAAAGGGGTATTGTTGGGAGAGTATAACCATGCCCATCTTTTCGACGACGAGTCAGCCATGGATTCCAGCACTGCGATACGTGCACGATAGAAAATTCACGACGACTACGGAAACGTAACCAAACTCGAAAGGTCCATTCCAGTATGCCTCAGCAGTTTCCTAACTCTTTACCGAGAAGCAACCTTTTCTTATTCATTCCCAATCAAATGGTCCAATCAGCCTAGTCTACTATGGAAGCCATCACTGAGAAAAACAGAGCGGGAACCTACGATGAATCAATCTTCTGAGCTTATCGTACAGGGAAGAAAGGGAAAATCAAGGTCATTTTTCCAAAGCGCTGCTTCAACTCTGTAGAGGTGCGCTGTAAATTTTACGACTTTTACAACATCTACCGCATAGCTGAAACCCTGGAGACAACATTCTGAAACTAGTAGTTTGAAAAAAAATCATGAAACATAAGCAATAGTTATAACATAACAACATATAATGAGCCTACTTCATCAACCATTTTCTGGCACATCACCGACGAACATGAAAGGGCTTTACTTTGTTCTCAATTCGAAGGCATATGACATGAGTACTCAACTTAACCCCCCAAAAAGCCGACATGAAGTCATTTTCTTACGTGTTGTTGAATTTCACTTTAGATTCCGCAGAAGAACATAGAAATACATTATTGAAATGTACCTCATTACCAACGAACTGACTCAGACCCTTTCTTCGTAAGTTTACGATATGAAGCTGCCACAGTTTCGATCAATGAACTGTTTAACAAATTAGGAAAAGTGACCCATAATCAACGGAAACCATACTCTTACGACCATTCATATAGCCATACCTCGCCCGTTCGACGCTTCTATTGGCTTTCGATTCCTGTGGTATTCAAAGCTAGGCGGATAGTGTTTTTACGGGCCAAGTAAGAACTGGAAAGAGTACGACATAGATTAGAGAAGAATAATTATACAGCATACCCCGCCCACGTCCATCCAAAATTAGAAACTACAGAGAACTTAAACTTATAATGAACGAGATCTCAGTGATCCCTAATTGATTAATCTTCCACTTGGAAAGTATCTCATTTTAACTCCCATTCTCTGCAATTAGGGTAGTCGCACACAAACTGTCTTTCCCTTTGTCATATGGTTCAATACATATGCGGCGGATTTCTGGAATAATTTTGCACCCTTAAGAGTTTTTGAACAAAATTTATTTCAGCATGCAGCATTGGTCATACAAGAGAAAAAGGAAGGCAGCTACGGTCCACAAACAGAAAATCGCAATAACCACATAGTTACCGTATATCCATTATAGCAAGGAACTACATATAGTGGTGAAGTGATGAAATACTGTATTGTTATAGCGCACCGCTGTGTGCATCAAAATAAAAAAATAAATAAATACAAAACGGATATGAAAGATGGACTCGTTTATCGACAATATAGATTATTTTTGATGTTCACACCGTTTCCGTTCGAACCAAGAATAACGTTGCCTTATCCGTCTATATATAAAGCGCTAACTTTGCGTGTCTGCTTGCATGTTGGTTTGTGCGTCCGTACGCAGAAAGTCACGTAGGCACCATGCGGATTATGTGGACGCATGCTAACAACGGTGAGGGACATGTCATGATATAGTTAGTCTACTGATATTGTTTATATGGCTCTCACTGACCAATACGGCTCACTTGGTGGTGTTGCTTGCGTTTTCATGCGCAGACCAACTTGTAAAATAATATACCCGATAATAACCACCAAAAGATGAATTCACAGACAAATTTCATGAATAAAAATGCGACAACTTGCTACACTAAGAAAAAGAGGCAGGAATGGAACTTATTAATGGAACTGAACCCCGAGAAAAAAAGGGCAGCTTTGCTCTCACTTAAGAACGTTTTTTTTTCTTGTTCTCTTCTTCTATTGGAGAAAGTTGTTTTCTATTAAGTGAAAAAAGTGAAGTAAAAAAAAAACAGGAAAAACATCTACCTTCCGCTGCCGGCATAGGAGATGTGTTTTTCGCCGGACTTGCTTTTGCATGAGAAACAACACTTGTTAGAATAGGAGTTTCTTCACAACTAAGAGCTATCGACGAATGAGAATGATTGTGGCCATTCTGCACAAGGTCGATGTCAACCGACTGAGCCTGAACATAGAATAATTGAATACACAGGATTGCAGCTCCCACCAGCGATGAATCCTTGAACTGCTCAAAATAAAGCTGACAGACATTCGAGTTGACAAGCGCCCTGGGGAGACATCTCCAATTTGCTAAAATTGCAAAACGACTTTTCGTATAGATTATGGAGGCGCTTTCGAGCGAAATTTGGACGGTAGAAACGTGTAATGATTTAACCCATTGACGATGGCGCGCGTTTTGGATTTTTCGGCCGCGTGGGACATGAGCGTTTTGGCGGGCGCAGCCAGCTTGACGCGCATGCGCGTTAAGATGTCCCACAAGGTACACTTTTGGAAGCCAAAGCTGAGAGGCAACATCAAAAGTGTATTACGTTGGTGAATGAAAAGAGTAGTCGACAGGATGGTGCTCTGTTTGTCTGCTCCCTCTTAGCGATACAGAAACAGCTTTGATGCACTTGTGAAACAAAACCAGGAACTTGCCACCTAGATGCCTAGAAGGCTGTAGTAAAGGGAGAACTGGGGGCAGCAAGAACGACTTTGAAAAATTGCAAAACGACTTTTCGTATAGATTATGGAGGCGCTTTCGAGCGAAATTTGGACGGTAGAAACCTGTAATGATTTGAAGGATTTTGTTACGGCGAATTTTTCATCATTTCTTCTTCATTTGCTTTTTTTCATTTTGTTGAAAGACCATTCCGGTAACGGGCAAACGCGCTAGAAATGCGACGTCTACTTTGCTTGAAACATAATTCACGCTTTTTAGGTAGCGGTGTAGTGTAAGTGCCTCAAAGGTGTAAAAAGACAACTTAGACAAATTATATCCAATCTCTATGCCCATGAAGTGAGCAACCGTCGAGGGGGTTCATTCCATTAATAATGAACGGATTAAAGTGCTCAAACCGTTCCACAAAAGTTAAGCGGAACTCGAGATATCTCGAAACAAAACAACTGACACAGGAAACTTTTCGACACTCCGCCGTTCCTTTAACATTACATGTTCGGAATTATTTTCAATGGGGCCAAATTAGTATCCCTCAGGAAATCTTAAATTTTTGTGGCGTCGACATCAGGTAGAAATCAAACCCCAAAAAAAAAAACGGTGTTATTGCAGAATCCACAATTCGACATCAGCATCATAAGGGTTTCTTAGTTTACAAGAATTGAGCCCTGTACAAAGCGTACTGCAAAAAAGGTAGGTCCCATAGAAATTCACAGTAAGGTCTCATGCTTATGTATCACTACCATCTACTGGTCGCCCTAAGGGATCGCTAGAAATAGGGCTACATAAACTTGCTTAGTCATGTGGCTATGCAACTTTGTGTAGCCTCTAGTTAGCGTAGGGCCTTCTGTTAAAGGCTTTTCGTAACCCTATCTAAAGAATCGTTCCAAATTTTTAGAAGCCGATTCGAGATCAGCATCCATTCAAAGGAGGTAAGCGTTTAGGATTCATATCTCGCAAGAGTGAGTTCTACAAAGCACAAGAACAAATCATCTATTGATATAAATGATAGCAAAAATTTAGGTACCTCGGTGACTGCGGCCTCGTTTGTCACAGCAGGAGCTGGAGAATCCTGCGACTCACTATGGAATGCCACGTCTAGGAATTGGAAGATGTCATTCTGCACATAAAATTTCTTGGCGCTTTGCTGCCCCAAAATGAACGTCTGGAAGAAGCGGCGAGTGGCGACTTCGCCACACACTTGCAGAACGATCCCTTTGTGATATGTGAATGATCCCTGGAAAAATGCACTGGAGTCTAGACAGAGAAGGAAGAGATAATTAATTCAACCAATGTATCGCTCTTATCAATTGAGGAAGGTGAGGATAAACATGGAGAAACGTTATCCCGAAGTCAAAGAAACTTCAGAACGCTTTCTTATAGTGGATCATTCCTATTTGACCTCATCCAACTCCAGCTAATTTTTGCATTTTCCCCTTGGAACATATGTGGACAAAAGTGAAAAAGCAGTCACTAACAATAGGTTGTAGTCACGGTTAGACAGTCTCCATAAAGTGTTTTCAAAATGCCTTCAACTCCCTCCCCCACCTGAACTATGGCTATACCCCAACGACGCAAAAATTGCAAGTTACCTTGACAGAATGGATCTTGAATCTGTTGTTCGCCTCTACCAGTTGCTCGATGCAGTTCTTGATTTTCTGTAAAATTAAACATAAGATGACCACACATAAAAAATATACAAAAATTATAGCAATAAAGGTTTTCGGGAAGCTGCAGGTCTCGATAATAGTTTTTTTTTCTATTACACTTCATGGAACATCGAACATGCTATACACTTCACTAGTCTCGAAGAGAGATCTTTATTTTTCAGTTCAATAACACCAGTGTCAGAAGTACAAGCTACAACTATAGCAAAGAGCAGGGAAATAAAATTATTCCGAGGACAGGTTAATTCCAAGAAAGGGAAGCTCACACGTATTGAGCGGATCGACATTCATTATACTTACCAAACGTCTAGCCCTCGGTTATCCTCCATTAGCTGGAGATACAAAAAAACTACTTCAGCTGGCTTCCGCAAAACAATGTAAGCCGGGTAGTTGAAAATGTAGGGGGACGGGGGCCCACACGTCCTTAACACTAGGCGCTAGAGTGCAAAGGAGGAGGGGTAGTTCACTTTGCAGGCCTACAACGATTCATACACTTTTGAAAAAGATGAATCAGTGGTCAAGTTAATGCTCAACTCTTTCTTCATCCCAGCTTTTTGTACGAGCGTCTCACCCTCCCCGAAGTTCCTGAAAAAACTATATTCCCTCTACTGAAAAACGTTTCTAAGCACCACTATATTCCCCCATAGCCGGCTTTCCCTGCTTTTCTGAGCTCTAGCGCCTGGTTTTGAGGTGAAGAGAGTCCTCAAGCCGGTGGTGTTAAAACCAAAACGAGCCTGTTGGCACCCACATCTCGCCCTTAACTTCGTTACAGTAAAAATTGCTACCTGTTGACCTATAACCGTGACATCATTGTGCACGAACACCGATTCATGGCTGTAGAATTTGTGCACGCAACCGGGAGACTTGGACAGAATGGTGTAATATTGGCGCACAAACTCAAGACCAATAGCTGAAAAAAGGCTGCGTTAAAGCGAATGGTTACAATGACATAAAGTGGGCTCACCGTCAGGAGTGGGATCGGCTTCAGTGTAAGCGGGCTCGGATCGGATTACGAGGTCATCGACCACATTCATTTTCATCCTTCTGATAGCACAACTACCTACAAATTGATAAATACTCTCATTTCGATTCAAATCAGACAAATCAGAGGATACATTAACGGTAGGCCTATGAATTTTCAATCTGAAAATGAACATCACAGGTAATACATGAGTTAGGATTGGAACACACAAGTAGATATGAATAAAACAAATAAGTAAACAAGTGATCATGAAACATGAAATTTCCATTGACCGTTTTGAAAACCTTAAGTAGGAGCATTGCCATCAGTTGTATTCACGCCTTTCTGAAGACAAACTTCATGCAAAAGAGAGCCGAAAACTGAGGTATACCTACTAGATCGCACTGGAGCAATGCAGTGCAACAGGCAACGACTGCTTCTGAAACCCACGACGCAATGCTGATAGACACGGATCCTCACGAAAAAAAAANAAAAAAAAACATGGCGAGTACGCGAAACTAAAAGCCCACGCATGGACTTCATGAGACGAAATGAGAATGGATTTTGTGTAATGAGCATAAGTGAACGCGAGTTGAGGTGTTAGAGACCCTAACGACGTCTTTCTGCAAGAAACCCGGAAAAGAAATTTTTCCGTGCAAACTACACAGCACTGTGAGCAAAGTAAACGCTGAGGGCACAATTATGAATCACAAGGAAAATCCTAAATAATTAGTTTCAAATTGTTCACGTATTGGTAAACACCTCCCCACGGGTTCAAGAGGTAGAAATTAGTTTTTGTGCAGGAACGCTCGGCTCGTTTTGAGGAACCCTTTCGAGAAATCGAATAAATAATTTTTTCATATCACCAAATCAAAGGGAAAATCGATAGGGGACCAAATAACCCGATAAAAGCAAATAAATAAAAAAACGCGCGAAATCTTAACGAATTATGGATTTTTAGGTTCAAAGGTAGTTGGCACGGTTTTAAGGGCGGGGTTCATTGGCGATGCTCTAGGAATCTGGTCCTATACGGATTGTCACCGTAATCCCAGCGCTGGCCTTGCGCCAAGCATTGATCGATTGCGCCCATTCAATTGCATTCAAACGTACTTTTCACTATACTCATCTGTGCATGGATTTTTTTCGATGTCTTGATGTATCGTAATCATCGTTCTCCCTTCTTTCTCGGAATTTCCTCTTAGAATGAGTTAATTTGCTATCTGACTGGTGCTATTCCCTCATGCTGGATCATCAATGTCACATTTCAGAAGGTCGCGAATGAGTCGACCTGCCTTTGAGCAGTTCACGGCTCAGCCGCCGCAGCCTGCCGGCGAGTTTGTCGCTCAACAGCAGACCATACAAGGAGAAGCCATGGCGGCACAGGTATGAGTATTTGTTGTTGTCAACTGAACAGTATGGGGTTCATCAATTCGAAGTTGGAGGGCCGTGAAACGAGAGGGGAACACGAACGTGTACTACCAATTTATGAGATTTAAAAGAACGAGATGTTTCATTTCTTTGTTTCCTTATGATTTGAGCACGGGTTTCAAAGTTNGAGTATTTGTTGTTGTCAACTGAACAGTATGGGGTTCATCAATTCGAAGTTGGAGGGCCGTGAAACGAGAGGGGAACACGAACGTGTACGACCAATTTATGAGATTTAAAAGAACGAGATGTTTCATTTTTTTGTTTCCTTATGATTTGAGCACGGGTTTCAAAGTTCATATAGTTTTTTTTTGACTTGTAACAAATGTAGATTGTTTTTCTCAGGGACAGGAGCTCACCATTGCTAAGCTCGAAAATTCTGTCGCAACAATGGAAGAACAGCAACTAACAGCAGATCCACGCTACCAGAAAATGTTGCAGCTGAAATCTAAGCTAACAGGTACTGTTAATGCTTTTTGTTTGGTAGAAGACGTCCTTTTACAAAAATACTACCTCTGTACGAATGCACTTCCGATGCTAGTCATCCTACTTTATATAATTCGCTAAGTGTGTCTGTTGGTGTGTCGGTGTGTGTGTTTGACCGGAAATTCATAACACCTGTTCCCGTGGACCTAGAAAGCTCAAATTTGGTAGGAGTACACGGGGCAGGATTGGAACACCTACGGTAAGTGGCAGGTCCGGAATCCATGCACAGGGAGCGCGGCGTGCGCGTTAGAAACTTTGGGCCGCAAATTCATAGCTCATGTCCCCGTGGACCTAGAGCGTTCATATTTGGTAGGAGTAAGGGGGGGGGGGGGGGGGGGGGGGGGGNNNAGACCAATTACTTCTCAGCGCCATTGTTATTTGCGACCTAGCTTTGACTTTTTGATATGTTTCATTCGACAAGAAGGTTAAGTTGTGTGATTATAAGGTTACGAATTTGGCTCACTTCTTGCTATTAGATTACGACCGCTACCCAGCAGAGTTTGCGATTAAGTAAAAGACCACGGTTTCTCTTTGCTCTGATATCATTCTCAGCAAAATTTATCCGACCGGTAATAATGTTGGATTCACACTCAATTATGTATCCATAGAGAAAAGGAGGTACATCTTTGAAGGCATTTGATAGTCTATACTCTCGCTCTGCGAAAAAGCGAAATAACATATTAAGAAGGAGGAATTTTATTAATTCGATATTTTTCGGGCAAAGTCCCTTTGCCCCAAGAATGAGGAGAGCCCATGATGATGGCGTTGAGGAACATTGATGGTTGTTAACATAGTAGCCTCAGCCGCGATGAAGTCTCTGAATACTTTTTTCTCTGAATAGTCGCCTTTGTGATATTAAAAAATGTTCTTTCCGACACAGCGAGGTTGGCTTACAGAAAAAATCGCTCCCACTTCGGAGCTAATACTGACGGTGTAGAGCTTTCAAAGCAAAAGGAGAATCCGATGTGTTATTTACGCCTAGCAAATTTCTCACAGGAAGGAGGAGCGCCCGGCGCAGCCGGGCGGACCCACAAGAAGTAGGGAAGCCCGGCGTTAGCCGGGCGGCTCGACTGATTAAGAATTATTGGGGGTAAGCATACAATTTAGCTGCTGTGCAATTCTTTTTTTAGGTGCTCCTCCACACACTGAAGTCGCTCAACAGCCTTCACCCTCAGCTGGTCAGCAGCAGCCACAAATTACACCAGCGCAATTAAACCAACTCAGGGCGCAGGTACGTCTGGAACATGGACTGAACATTCTTGTAACATAGTGAAATATGACCGCCTGCACTTTAAGGTTAGCGTGTACAAGTTGTTGGCGAGGAATGAACCAGTACCACCAGCCCTCGCTGCTGAAGCTGTCTTTGTGAAAAATAAACCGACGTCTCTCCTACCTGAACCATACGAATTCCCTGGAGAAGGGGATAACGGAGAAAAGCTACCGTACGATCTCATGAAGGTATGCATTTAGTTCTTTTTCATCCCTTTTTTTTTGTTACGCATGGTGATGGTGTTGAGGGAGATATTACAATGTTAGCGGAAGAGAAATCACCCTTATAACATTTGTTACGCTCTTTTTTGGAATCGTATCATCGAATATTACTGCTAATTGGGGTCGGCTAGGAACCACTGTAGTGCTTACTCGAATGATTACATTAAATTCAACAAGTTCACAGCTTTTTTTTCAGGTTCTGAACATTCATCAACAGCGCTGCGCAAGACCAACCTCTCTGCCGACTCCTGTAGGCATAGATCCCGCATCTCTTCTGAAGGAACGTGAACACAGGTACCGTTTTGAAAGGACTTTAGAAGCATGAAAAACCATTTTGTTGGATGGCAAGTTCGTTCTCGTTTTTGGGGATGTCATTTCCGGAAACTTTTCAGGATACAGAATCGCGTTGGCCTTCGAATCAAAGAGCTGAGCAATCTGCCTGCTGACCTTCCACCAAATTTGAGAATAAAGGCGGAGATCGAACTTCGCGCTTTGCGGCTGGTGAATCTGCAGGCACAGGTTGGTAGTGTCACGGATTCATTCTATGATAATGGCCCAATTGATAAGTCAGGAGGAACATGATACTCAGCAACCATTTTAGTATTAATATTTTGCATAGATATTGTTTTGATTGGAATTTTCTATGAAATCCATTGATATCGCAAATGATGTTACAGGTTCGCAGTGAAGTAATGGGAGCACTCCGTAGGGATACGACGCTTGAAACAGCTCTCAATCCATATGCTTATCGCCGAACAAAAAGGCAGTCGTTGCGTGAGGCGAGAGTAACAGAAAAACTTGAGAAGCAGCAGAAGATGGAACAAGAAAGAAAACGGAGACAGAAACATACAGACCTTATGCAAGCCATCATTCAGCATGGAAGAGAGTTTAAGGAGTATCATAGGTAGGCATGATTTTATTTTGATAGAGATTTTACTTTTTTTTTATTTTGTATGTAATCACCCTACTTTATCTCCGGTAATTGTTTTCTCCCTCAGGAACAATCTGCTCAAGACACAAAAGGTTAAGAAGGCCGTCTTGACATATCACCAAAACAATGAACGAGAGCGAAAGAAGGATGAAATCAAGAATGAACGACTTCGAATGCAAAAGCTTATGCAGGAAGATGAAGAAGGTTACCGTGCTTTGCTGGACGAGAAGAAGGTATCTGACATTTTCAGAGGTTTTCATTTCGTCTTTTTCAAGCGCATATGTTATTTTTAGGATCAACGTCTGGTGTACTTGCTACAACAGACCGACGAATATGTGGAGAGCTTGTGCAGTCTTGTACGACAGCACCAAAATACGGAGAAAAAGAAGAAAAGAGAAGAGAGAAAAATGTCAAAGATGGAAGGTGAGTAGTGTTTTGTTTCATAGTTAAGAATGACTATAAATCTGTCGCCTTTCCTCCTATTAAGAAGGTGAAGCACGCGTTCACGTTCGTGATACCTCCACGGGAAAAATCCTCCAAGGCGATGAAGCTCCGAAGCCCGATGAATTAGAAGTATGGCTTGAAACCCATCCTGGATTCGAGGTAGTACGTTTTTTTGATGTGAAAGAGGTGCTTCGACACTATTTGCGCCAGAATTTACTCTTTGCGTGCAACCATCCTACGCTTACTTACGCTCTTGTCTACAGTTATCGATCTTCAAGGTAGGCACACGTTATAGGTTGTGCCTCTGTTTCTAAAAATCGGTGTTTGTGAATAACATGCTTGCTTTTTACTTAGAATCGTGTAGAAGCTCGGAGATGTTCAGCTAATCTCTTTATTTGTTCGAGATAATCTAAGGTTTTCTAGGTAGTTCCACGTGATCAGCTTTCTGACGACTCCGATTCGGACGAAGAGGACAATCCCGCTCCAGCACCTGCAAAGAAGGATGTTGATGAGTATGCTGGAATGGACGAGGAAACAAAAGCTCGAATGATCTTGGAAAAGGTACGTATTGACAATAGGTCAGCGATAAATGCATTTTCTTACTGTGAAAGGACATATTCATGAATGCCATACAATTTTAGGCCAGAAATGAGGAAGATGAATATGATCAGAGGAATCGCAAACAAATGGCCGACTATTACGCCACTGCTCATAGAATTAAGGAGAAAATTGTACAACAACATTCCACGATGGGCAGTGAAACACTGCTTCTGAAGCCATATCAGGTTTTATTTTTGTTGTGGGATCCTTATTCCAGAAGTTGCACGTTTATTATCCATTTTTTTCAGCTGAAAGGTCTGGAATGGATGGTTTCCCTATACAACAATAATCTTAATGGGATTCTAGCGGATGAAATGGGTTTGGGGAAAACCATTCAGGTATCTGCTCGCGGTAAAAATAACGTTGATGTAAAAAAAAAATTCCGGCATTTCCAGACCATTTCTCTTATCACCTACTTAATGGAAGTGAAGCAAAACAATGGTCCATACCTTGTGATCGTACCTTTGTCGACGCTTTCCAACTGGAACATGGAATTCGAGAAATGGGCTCCATCCGTAGTGAAGGTAATCTGATTTAATCTCTTATTTAGATAATTTCGTTTTTCCGTGTAAGTCGCTTAGCTTTCACTCATTAGTATGCAGTGCTTCTGTGCCAGGGTTTTTCAGTAGCCAGAGCATTTATTTCGCGTTGCGTCCAGTCGAGTTGCTCTCCCATTGCTCTGGAAGCGTTTCGGAACTTTTTGGCCTAGTGCGATTGTGCAGAGCGATCTAAAGCCTAGCTTTTGAACCATGCGCTGGCCCAAGTTTGTAACCACCTTCTTGCAGTTCTGTAATATAGGGTTTTCATTTCAGGTAGTTTACAAAGGTAACAAGGAATCTCGCCGACGTGTCGAAGGTCAAATCCGTAAAGGTGCTTTCAATGTCTTAATGACGACATACGAATATGTGATTCGTGAAAAGGCTCTTCTCGGAAAGGTTTGCACACATTCGCAGTCAAAATTTGGTCAACGATTCATAGACTACCCTTTAGATTCGTTGGAAGTACATGATCATTGATGAGGGTCATCGTCTCAAAAACCACAATTGCAAGCTAACACTTATGTTGAACGGCTATTTCCATGCTCAGCACAGATTGCTTCTCACTGGTACTCCTCTCCAGAATAAGGTATTTTCACGAGCATTGCTCCGAGTGTGATTCCTTCTTTCTATCCCAATTATTTTAGCTGCCAGAGTTGTGGGCCCTGCTAAATTTCTTGCTTCCCTCAATATTCAGCTCCTGTGGAACCTTCGAACAGTGGTTCAATGCTCCATTTGCCACTACAGGAGAAAAGGTAAACTAATTTTTAAACTATCTTTTTGAGGCTGTTTTCGCTTTGCTCAACAGTAGCCATCCCTAATGGGGCATAATTTCAATCGATCTAGTTTTTAGTAAGGTTTTGAAAGTTGCTGAGGAGCTCAGAATTATTGAATCTGAGGTTTAAGGTTGAATTAAATCAAGAAGAAACAATGCTGATCATTCGACGTCTGCACAAAGTCTTGAGACCCTTCCTGTTGAGAAGACTGAAGAAAGAGGTGAAACTTCTTCCTTGAACCTGAAATCATTTGCGGGTGAAATCTAGTTAATCGAAACGCAAGAGTTCAGGTGGAGTCGCAACTTCCAGACAAGACAGAATATGTCATTAAATGTGACCAATCAGCGCTTCAAAAGGTTCTCTACAAGCATATGCAGAAAGGACTGCTGATTGATAGCAAACAGGTATGTGAATGACTCTGGTTAAGACAATTACGGCAAAAGCATGGTAATGAACAAAAACGACATTTCAGCAATCGGGTGGCCGTGCTCTGATGAATACAGTGGTTCACTTGAGAAAGCTGTGTAATCACCCATTCCTCTTCCAGTCAGTTGAAGATTCTTGCCGAGCATTTTGGAAGGTTGAAGAGGTTTCAGGGTAAGTCAGCAACGCTCTTTGATTGAACATCACCGGCGTGTAGGTAGAATGTGAGTAAGAATAATCAACACACTATTTCAGGCAAGATCTCTACCGAGTTTCTGGTAAGTTGGAGCTGTTAGATCGTATCCTGCCGAAGTTGAAGGCGACAGGACATCGTGTGCTGATGTTCTGCCAAATGACCACCATGATGACAATTATCGAAGATTTCTTCAATTATCGAAGTGAGTGCATATATAGTATTTCCGTAATGGCACAACTCAGTTTTGTTTCGATATTTTCTTTTTACAATTGCAGAATGGAAGTACCTTCGGCTTGACGGCAGTACTAAGCCTGATGAACGTGGCCAACTCTTAGAGTTATACAACGCTCCAGACAGCGAATATTTCCTCTTCATGCTCTCTACTCGTGCGGGAGGTTTAGGACTGAATTTACAAACGGCAGATACTGTGATTATATTCGATTCGGATTGGAATCCGCATCAGGTACTCATTGGATTTATTCGCACTGAGGCTTCTCTTATACTGAAGAAATCACCATTAGAGGCAAATGAAACCTTTGCACTTCGCGGTAACTGGGTTTGTTCAAGTATTTGGCTATCTTCAGGATATGCAAGCCCAGGATCGGGCGCATCGCATCGGGCAGAAGAGAGAAGTTCGGGTACTGCGCCTCATTACGACAAACTCTGTGGAAGAGCGAATTCTAGCGGCAGCGAAATATAAGCTGAACGTTGATGAAAAGGTTATACAGGCTGGAAAATTCGATCAGCGATCTACTGGGGCAGAAAGGAAGCAAATGCTTGAGCAAATCATTCGGTTAGTTCTATTGGGGTTCCTTTCATTCGCCAAGTAAGCAAGGACGTTATGGTTAATATTCATCTGTGATGAATTTCAGGGCCGAGTCTGAGGACGACGAAGACGACGAGGTGCCGGATGACGAAACGATCAATCAAATGATAGCCAGATCAGAGGAAGAGTTCAATTTGTTCCAGTCGATGGATATTGATCGAAGGAGAGAGGAAGCAGGACAGCTTCACAGGTTCGAATTACACCAGTCATGAGGCTGGTTGAGATCGTCTTGACTTAAATGACTTAAACAAATTGGTCACTGTTTTAGAAAGCCCCGTCTACTTGAAGAGAATGAGATTCCTCATGACATTCTCAAAGCATCGGATGAGTTTGCTGAATTAGAACGGGCTCAACGTGAAGGGGTAATCAAGGATGACCCGTATTCAACAGGAAGACGACGAAGGCGTGAGGTGTGATGTTTGCAAGATTGGTTGTTCTTGCTTGCACAAGTGAGACTATTGTTTTGTTTTAATTTAAATGTCGTTTAAGGTAGACTATTCAACCGATCTAATGTCGGATGACCAGTGGCTCAAACAAATTGACGATGCGGTTTGTTTCTTTTCTCTTAAAATTTCGCGTAAACTGATATGTTGTGTGTCCATTGTGGCATTCAGGAGGAGGAAGAACATGAGGCTAAGAAGAAAAAGCGGAAGCGGAAAGCAGAAGATGAAGAGGATGAAGAAGGCAAGAAAAGGAAAAAGGCCAGCCCTGAAGTGATCGAAGTGATGAATAAGGTAGTTTCGCCGTTTCGCTGATTTGATTCCTGGATCTTTTCCTTTTTCTTTGTTTTTAAAGTTTTCCGATTTGCATTTGTAGGTGTACGACATATTGGTTGGATTCAAGACGAATGATGGCAGGGAGATCGCTGTACCATTCATCGAGCTTCCCACAAAGCGGGAGCTGCCCGATTACTACGACATTGTGCACAATCCTATGGATTTTGCAAGGATTAAGAAGAAGATCGACAAGGGCAGGTATGGGGCTCATAAGTTCGCATTGTGATTGCGATGAATTAGAGTCTATTATTTGTTAAGGTATGCCACAATCGAAGAGATGGGAAATGATGTGAAGCTGCTTTGTGAAAATGCTAGGGTGTGTTGGAAAACTTATTCTTTTTTTTGCAGAAGGTTTTTTTTTTCTAATCGAAAATCTGCACATATTTAGTTATACAATATCGAGGGCAGCGATATCTACAATGATTCGATGTTACTGGAAGCAGTATGGATGAAGGTTACCGGTGGAGATCCAATGGCTCTCCTGAAAGGAAGGGCAACTGAAGGCGCTAGTCAGTCTGGTAGCAGTCAGAAAGAAAAAACAGTTGCAGATGACAACGATTCCCGCGATAGAACTCCCTCGAAAAGGGACAACGAGGTCAGTGTTTACTTCTTTAGCTTGTGCTTCTTCATTGTTAACAATTTTTTCGTTCCTTAAATATTTCTTTGAGTTTGTCATATCTTTGATTCCTGTCAAAATCATCGCGGGATTTTAGGATAGTCAATCGTCGACTTCATCTAGCCGCCGCAAGTCTCGGCCGTCGAAGAGAAATGTTTCTTCGGATGAGGAATCTGACTGAACATGCCTAATTTGACTGTGCGTCTCCTTGCGTATCATAGCAATTTTCAGTTAGTCCATTGAGGATCATGGTTATTTCTTCTAGCACTGCATACATGTGTTCGAGTGACCTTCACTGTATCCATAATCAAGAACGGTTAAAATGTGTCGTGTAAGCATTCGAGTATACTACATTAGGTCTCAATTGAACACGTTTCACAATAAAGTTAATTTGTTTAATTTATTGCTTGTATGATTCTTGTGGTTGTTATAGAATGTGTACATAGGTTTTCAGCTTGTTCTTAGTAACCATTGCAACCAAATTCTCATTTTCCCGTGTTTTTCTTGTCTTACCATATGTGATAAACATTGTAAGAACTTTTCTTCCAGTTCATGTTATTTAAATGTGTATAGCACTACTTTATCGAAGTCTCCAAAAAGTGGTCAGGCCAGAAATTGGTTAGTGATCGTATGCGGTCATATTCTTATACACATAGTTCATCGTACAAAACAGGTTTTGTGGGTCGCACGTATGCACTACAGAAATGCGATCTCTTTTTTTTTCTGGTTTGAAGGGTTCCATTGATTGGTGGGCAGGGTGATGCGGCAGCGCTCGGCAAGGGAGTGATTTGCAAATGTGAAAAGGAATTCCATTTGGCACGACCACTTGTAGAAAAGCTAGCTTATTTTCAAACGTTCCTCTATGAAAAACAATCAACCGATGGTAAAATGTAAACCATGAAAAACTTGAGTGAGCTACTCACACTTATTTCAAGGGTTCCACTCCGACTTCGATTTTAAAAGTGGCAATTTCTAGAAGTATGAACTTCTATTTACTTTTTTG